TTCTGTTGGATTTGGCTCAGGGACAGAGTTTGGAGATGCGGTTTTAACATCACAGACAGCCTTTTCTGTCTCACAGTGGAGAGCATACCATGACAAATGGGAAAATCCGAGTAACTTAAAATGTACAGAGAGACACTGTGAACCTCCTAGAATTCTACAATGGGCTTCTCTTGAAGGCTGTGTATGTATGCAGGACAAGGGATGTCTTGGGCCATGGGCCTCATGTTTAAAATGCAGAATGGGCAAGGAGATTAAACTGTGGGAAGGACCTGCCATGAGTGGAACACTGAAAGCTCACTTACTTCCTGGCTGCAGTTCTCCTATGAAGTTGTGGGGACTCAAGTAGCTGAAGCTCAGACAAAACTCTGCCTTACTGCCTTAGGTTGTCTATAATGTCTATGCTCACTTACTACTTTTGTAAAATAAACTCACCCTGCACTTGCTACACTGACGTATGCTAGATGCTCTCGTATGAAGGTGTCTTTTAACCATATATGTGTTTTGACAATATGCCTTGTAGAATACTGAGGGAAGACACTAATGTTAGAAACACCATGTGGCCACAGGAGTACTATTCTCCATGATGCCGTGTTAGCAAGCGGCGGATGTTTCATATAATGCTGGTCTCTGAATTCAAGTTCCAAACCCCAAAAAGGAAGTTGCAAAGGGCTTGGGAAACAGAACCTCTGTTTAAACTTTGCATTTCCACATCGTCAGTGCTTCAAGTCTCAAATATACAACCATGAGCCTGAATCTCCTATTGCCAATGAAATTACAAATTTCAATATAGAAAGGAATGGTAGTAGTAATTGCCATAAAATTATCTTTATCATACTCTGAGCTTAAATGAAAACATTAGAAAATATCACTAAGCACAAACAGTAGAAAATCTAAACGCAAACAGCACAAGAACTGTGCAAACAACTGCGTCATGGAATATACAAATGTTCTTTGTGTTCACTGCTCACTGGAAATGCAGCATCCCAATTTTTTTTTCCTGAGTGAAATACTGGTGCCTTTCTTCCTGAGAATTTAAACCTGTGTGAAACACAGAGTAAGGAAGAGACCCCTGCCAATTTTATATGCTGCATTAGAACATTCCATATGAATATAAGAGCACACAAATTTAAGACTGCTTTTTCGAACATCTGGCCGTGGCTTGTCAGTTCGGACCATCACGGAATTTATTGCTAAGGTTGATATCCTTTTTGTTCCATCACAGCTGTGCACTCAAAGGGCACTCCCTGTGCCTCTTAGGAAGCCAGCTGTGCTGAAGTGCCCCAGCCTCCAGGACCCATGGCTTTGCTTTTGCAAAACCAGAGCAAGCTCCAGCCGCTCTTATTGTCTGCTGACCCCTCTATTCCACGCGCCCCGCCCCCAGCTCTCACCCCACCCAGAGCCTCCAGTGGGACCTCTACGCCCTCTGCACACACACCAGGACCATGTCACAGCGCTGACTCCCCATCACGCCCAGCGCAAATGCTAATTTCCTCTTCTCACAGAAATGACCTAAGGATGGGGCCAGCGATATAGCTCAGTGGCACAGCTCCTGCCTGGCAAGTTCAAAGTCCTGAGTTTGATTCCCGTACCAAAAACCCCCAAAACAACAGAAACCACAAAGATTTTAAAGAAATGACTTAAGGCTATGCCCCACATCGGTGCTTCACATCTCGATGTCCCTCGAAAGCCTCCTTAGTCATAGGAGGGATGTTTACAAAGTGCGCAGAGGACAGCGGCAGTGTACCGGACTTGCTTTTCACAGGGGGTTTGGGTAGAGGAGGCCGGTCGCTGTGGGGATGACCCAGAACTTGTGTCGCTTTTCCTGGAGTGTGCACGGACCGTCTGCTTCCCAGGTCCCTGGCGGGGAGCAGCTTTTCCTCTACTAGCACTGCTGCCCCTCTGTCCTGCCGTGCAGCCAGCAGACCACGAACGGAAACGAGCCAAATCGAACCTCTTTCCCTTTCAGCTGCGGGTTTCTGGTATTTTGTCCAGTGAGGAAGGAGATAACTAAGACAGTGATTTTCCAGAACGCTTATCCAACTTCCTCTCTGCTCTTTCTCCCTCGGTAATTTTCCTTCTAGTAAGGATGACTGTGCAGCACCCTATTGCATGTTCCAACTTGTTCTGTTACCGGTTCTACCAACAGTTTCAACTACTCATCACATAATCTTGTTTATTTTAATCACTAAAACGTGTCAAATGTCTAGAAATAGCATAATGCGGGAGGGTGAGTCCAATCTGAAGAAGGAATTGTGTCCTGGTAGTCACTAGCTCTATCTGCACACCTTAGCTCATGGGGCTTGTTTCTAAAGTGTTGTAAGAGGCAGAAGATGCCTCTGATCCTAGCGGGTGCCTTGCTCAAGGATACTGCGTGCTATCAGCTGTCTGAACTATCTGTTCAGTTTCAGTATTTTTCTTTCTTGTGTAATGTTTATTAGTACAAGTTTGTGGTACGCAGCGATTACATTCAGCTAGGGGGGTTGGCACACACACACATCACAACTTGATTCTGTTTACTTACTCTGCTACCCCACTGCCACCCTCCCTCCTCCCTCAGGTCCTCCTCTTTCCTCTACAGAGAAAGTGTGCCTTCCTATAGCAATCTCTCCGTCCACTGTATCCACGACTGCCAGGTTATGTGAAGTCCCAGTTAATGTGAATGACTAGAAGTGTACATTTACAAATTACTAGGCTGCTTCTCTCAGATGTAGGGACATCAATAATCTAAGATGCTTCCTGCAGTCAGCATCCTGAACAGAATGTGATATCAGCGTTTCTTATAAAGTGCGGCTCACGTGCACACACAATGCACAGTGTTCTACTGAGACTGAGAAGCTGAATCTAGTTTATTACACTTAACACAATGGTCTCCAGTTTCATTCATTTTTCTGCTAAAATGATTTCACTTTTCTTTATGGCCAAATGATATTTCTTTTTTATATTTTTTTATCATTGGTTGCACACCTGGGCTCTTTAGAGTTTAGCAATTGTGAATCACACTAGTATAAACATGTTTATGCATGCACAACTATGGTGTAATGATTTCAGTTCTTTCAAAAACATGTGTAGGAATATACAACTGTATCAAATACTACTTATATTTTAGTTTTTGTTGAGGAATTTCCACATTGACTTCTACAGTAATTATACTATTGATATCCCTGCCTGCCAACAATATAGGAGATTTTACCCCAGATTCTTCTCAGCATTCATAGATTTTTGTATTCTTGATGCTAATCATGTGGCTGAGATGAGACAGAATCTCAGTATAGTTGGAATTTGCTTTTTCTCAATTGTTGCAGAAGTTGAATAATTTTCATGTACTTATTGGCCACTTTATTTCTTCTTATGAGAATTGTCTATTCAATCCCTTTTGCATAATTTGATTGGGTTATTGGCTTTTGAAAATTAATTGTATGGAGTTCTTTATATATTCTAGATACTTATTTTTTTTTATACCGGGAATTGAGCTCAGGACTTTGCATTTGGCAGGCAGATGCTGTGCCACTGAGCTATATCCTGGGCCTTAAGTTCTAGACATTAGTCATCAATCAGAAAGGCAGCACCCAAGATTCTTTCACTTTCTGTTGTTTTCTTTTCACTATATTAATTGCTACCTTCTGTGTGTGGAAGGTTTCTAATTTGATGCAATTTTATTTGTTGATCCTTGATATTATTTTCTGTGATGATGAAGTTCTACTCAGAAATTCTGCACAGGAGACTATAGATTCAAGTGTTTTCTCTGCATAATTATGCACTGATTTGAAAGTTTCTGGTTTTATAGTTAGGTGTATCACCATTTTTCTTTTGATTTTAGTGCATGTGATAAATAGGGATATAGATTTAATCTTCTGCGTGTGGATATAAAGTGCTGCCAGGACCATTTGTTAAAAAGGCTATATTTTCTCCAATGTATGTTGCTGACCTCTTTCTCAAAAATGCTACCATTGCATGTATTAGTTTGTGCCTTTTTTGTTCAATTGAATTGGCCTAATGGATGTTTAGGTGCAAGTGCTATTTTGTTTTTGTTACTATAGCTTTGCAGTATACTTGGAATCTGGTGGTGTGGTGCCTCCAGCACTGGTCCTTTTGATCAGAATTTCTTTGAGTATTCTGGATCTTTTCTAGTTCCAGATTTATTTTGGTATTCTTTTCTACCTCTATCTGGAATATTATCAGTATTTTAATATGAGTTACATTGAAACTGTAGGTCATTTGTGGTACAATGACCATTTTAACAAAATTTGTCTTTGTGTGGTGATCTATGAACATGGGAAGTCTTTCTATTGTCTAATGTCCACTGTAATTTTTTTCAATATTACCTAGGTTTAATGAGATAGGAGTCCTTTATCCTCTTGGTTAGGTTGAATGCTATGTACTTCGTTTTCTCGGAAGGTGTTATGAATGAAATTTCTTCCCTCATTTCTTTATTGGTGAGTTCGTTGTAGGTGAACAGAAGCATGATACATTTTGGGGTGTTGATTGTGTATCAGCCACTTTGCTGAATGTCTTTCCTTTTTTTAAGTTTAAGAATTATTTCAGGGAGCATTTTCACGTTCTACATAAAAGTTCATCTTATCTGAAAGTGGGCAGCTTGGCTTCTTTTCTATTTGAATTCCCATATTTCTTGCTGTTGCCTGATTGGTCCACCTGAATTCTCAATTACTATATTTACCAGGAATAGGACTGTGTTTAACAGAAGTTATCTAAAAAGAAATGCTTTAGTTGTATTACTTATTTTTTGCTACACAGTTGATAGATTTTATACTCAAAAGCTCATATACATGTGTGAATGCTGAGATGATTATCAGAAATATTTGAGTAGGAATATTTGTTTCATATATTAAAATTAATTTGATAAAATGTATACTTTTGGATAAAATTAATTTGTTCTAATTGATTTAGTGATTTAGTTCCTTATTATTCTCCTGTAATCTTTCATTCATGTTTTGTACTTGATTTTTATGTTACTTTCAAGGAAGTTAAAGTAGTACATTTTTATGGAGAAGTGGAACCAAACTTCAAATGATTTTATTTTGTTGGGATTGTTGTCACAAAACCCAACAAGCCTCGTTCTCCTGTCCGCCATCATCTGTGTGTCCGTTCTTGCCTTGGTTGGTAATTCAGTGATGATTCGCCTTATACATTTGGATCCCCGTCTTCACACACCCATGTACCTACTCCTCAGCCAGCTTTCCCTCATGGACTTAATGGACATCTGTACTACTGTCCCCAACATGGTCTTCAACTTCTTCTCTGGCCAGAAAAGCATCTCCTTTCTGGGGTGTGGGGTACAAAGTTTCTTCTTCCTCACCATGGCTGGGTCTGAAGGGTTACTGCTGGCCTCCATGGCTTATGACAGATTCGTGGCCATCTGCCACCCCCTCCATTACCCCATGCGCATGAGCAAAAGGATGTGTGCGAAGATGGTCATGGGATCTTGGACGCTGGGCTCCCTCAACTCCCTGGCACACACAGTCTACGCCCTTCATCTGCCCTACTGCAGGTCCAGGGCCATCAATCACTTCTTCTGCGATGTCCCCGCCATGCTGCCCCTGGCCTGCCTGGACACCTGGGTCTACGAGTACATGGTGTTTGTGAGCACCAGCCTGTTCCTCCTCCTCCCTTTCCTTGGCATCATGGCTTCCTATGGGCGGGTGCTCTTTGCTGTCTTCCACATGCGCTCCAAAGAGGGAAGGAAAAAGGCCTTCACCACGTGCTCCACACACTTAACAGTAGTGACCTTTTACTATGCTCCTTTTGTCTACACTTACCTCCGGCCCCGGACTCTGCGCTCCCCAGCAGAAGACAAGACCCTGGCAGTCTTCTACACCATCCTAACCCCTATGCTGAATCCCATTATCTACAGCCTGAGGAACAAGGAGGTGCTGGGGGCCATGGAAAGAGTGTTTGGGATATTCTCTTCCAGGAAGAAGTGATTGTGGTATTTCTGCTATGCTTCCTTTATCTTCTTTCTTTGCTTAGTTGAACACTATGGAACAGTGTGGCCTGATGGAAATAGGATAGCACACTTGTGTAGCTTAAAACTTTAGTGACACATTAAAACACAGTGCTAATGTAAATAATATCTTAGTTACTCTATCATACTGTGGTCATGTTTTTATTCAAAATAACATAGGGGCTGGGGATATAGCTCAGCAGTGCAGTGCCTACACGGCAAGTGGAAGACCCTGAGTTTGATTCCCAATAACACAAAAGAAAAGCAAAATGATATTATAATAGATATAATACTTGGAAAATGGTCTTCAATTTTATATTGTCTATAATTATAATGAAGTATATTGATCATATGTTTGTGCACATTTTATTCTTAATGTAACAATATACTTCCACTGACATAATTTCTATAATTGATGTAAAATTAATATTATGCTCATGCACTTGCTTTTATTTTACTTTGTCATTCTTGTGTATATTTCATATTAGACTATATAATAATTTGCATTGCCCACATTTCAAGTATGCAAATTGACATAAGGCAAGTGTCTGCTGGGTTGCAAAGCAAACACTTGGGGAAAAACTGCTCACATCATGGAGGTCAGGAAATGAAGAAAGCATAGCTCAAAGCAGGTCCTAAGTGAATTAAGACTCTTGATGCTAGGTTTCTAAGATCATAACTTCCCTGCTCATTGGAGACCCATGATGATGTCTTGACAAGAATAATCACATCCAAACAACCAGCATTTGCAAAGCTTGAACGTAGCTGGTACGTGGAGATTGACTGGAGGAATGGAAGCACACATAGGAGCAGTGTCAGAGTAAAATACATGAGGGACCATGTACACTACTCAAGGTCACACCTCCTTGATGCACCTGGGAACACCCCGGAGTGTGCTTACTCGTCTGCTAGGCCTGTCTTAGTCCATCGAAGTTCCCATGTCTGGATTAACGATCAAAGTCTACCCTTTGTCAGCTTCTCACCTAAACGCATCTCTTTAAACTATACTTAATCTCAAAACAAAGACATAGCAAGTTCATAACTGCACCTAATTGTCCGTGTATATAACCATAAATGCAATCATCTCTTCCCAAAGTGCCAAATATTTCATCATTTTTCAAAAATCCAAGCCCAAATCTCTTCTTGGACCCATGCAACTTTTAGCTGCAAACATCTCTATCAAAATATTAAAAAATTATAGAACTCCATTCTACAACGGCAGAGGATAAACACTTCTATTCCCAAAGGGAGGAATAGGGGGGATACAAAAGAATCAGATAAAACCAAAGCCCAACAGGGCAATCAGTAGATTATGGAGCTGCATGTCCAGCATGCAGGTCAAGCTGTGGTGAGACATGAGCTGCAGAGGTTGTGGGCAGCCTCGCCACCCTGCCATTGTCAGTTATAGCAACATGACTTCTCTTTCCCTGGGTCCACTCAGTGACTCCAGCCTCGCTCAGCAGAAATTCCAAACAGATATCCCTGCATTTCCCACTTCCTGGGGTTTCCACTGCATTCCTGATAGTACTTTCTCACAGCTATACATTCTGCCCTCACAGGCTGGCATCCCAGGCCTTCTAAAAACTGGATGGAAGCCTCCATGACTCAACAACTTTTGCATTCAGAGTGCCTGAAAGTCCAGCACAACGTGGATGGTGCAAAGA